GCTTAAACCAGCTCAGCTCAGACCACCACTGTGGCCATTTGTGGAGTGAACCAGTGGATGGAAGACCTCTCTTTCTTTCTCTCTAAAACCTTTCAAGCACATAGAAATAAACCTTAAACAAAAATGCTCATACTTTGGTTGACCCTAAGTAACTGAAAAACAAAAATAAGATCAAAGATAAAGGAGACTACATTAATTAAGAAAATGGAAGTTTCCGTTCAAATGTTTTTAATCGAGGAGTACAAAGTAACTGACAAATTTTTTCATGTTCCATTCATTGAGGATAATTAGCAAAATTTTCAAAGTAAATATTCTAGAAAAGAGGACTCTTCAGTTACCTAATTTACTTCTCTTCCTATCAATCTTAATACTGCTATATTAAATAGTATGTTGGCTCTAGAACAACGTAGGTAAAAACATGCTTTAATAACTGTGTGTCAGGATCACTTCACTCCATGTCTTATATAAAAAAACAAAATATTAAAAACAGACGCCACTCTCTGTTTCCATTTACCCAATGTATTCCTAACAGTTGGCTACATCATTTTTGACTTTATATTTTCAATTACCATGCAACTGATATTTGCATTTTTACCAGTCTTCACAGACATCATTTAAAAAAAAGAAAAGTACGTTACACAATTTATGTAAAGGTCCTCGTATCACTGAATTTAGGGGGGGGTCACTTAAAAACTCTGGCTATTAAAACAGTGCTCTAAAATACTGCTTATATGACATTTTCAATCATAAGGTCCTTTCATTTATTTTATTTTCATTTTATATTTGGAAGGTAGAGTCAGAAAGAGAAGCGTTCCATCCGTTGCTTGTAGGAGGACATTGTGACCCTAGAAGGATTACAGTTGATTGGACAACATTTGTATGATACAAACCGAATGGCTACCTTTTGTATAACTGACTGGATATCATTTGTATGAGAACAGTTGAGTGGACAGCATGTGAATGAGAACACTTGGTAGAATATACAAGACAAAAGGAGTTCCAAAGAAAAGCACAGAAACTGTTCATGGGTTTTGTTGATAAGCTCAATATCTCCTCCCTTATCCCATATGACCCTCAGTGTATAAAATCTGATGCCACTAATAAACTTTGACCATCAGTCAGAGTCCATGTGTGTTATTATCGGCTCCATGCACCAAGTCCATCGCTGTGGGACTGTGACAGTTGGTCACATTCCAAATGCTTCCAACAGCAAGAACTGGGCCAAAATGAAACCAGCTGGCAGCACGGTGGCTGGGGTGCGGGTGTTCCCAAAGGATAGCTAACTTGGCCATACATCTGTCCCAACCAGAGTTTTTTTGTAAGGTTTCCTGAAATATAATAGGGGGTTTCATAAATAGCTGTTACCCATCAAACTTCAACTTTTTAGAGGAAACCCCTTATAGCAGAAACATTTCCAATTATGTAAACTAGAAATAACTGAGACGTCTACAGATACAGTAACTAATTCTTCAGATGCCTAACAGAGAACGAGTTAACATCCACATATAGGAAGTGTCTTGGGCTTGCGTTTACATCATTCCAATGCTCATGGTGGAGCCCACAGATCAGCAGATAGCCACATGAGCCTCAGAAAACTTAAAACACTCTGTGGCAGGACACACCACTAGTCAAGAGTCCAAACTGGACTCTGCACTCAGTTCTGACTCCAAAGTTACACTCTCTCATCTAAAAATGAATACTGGTACTTCTTAGAATGTCCAGTGTAAAAATAACTGGGCTCATTGTGCATGGGAAGGTCCTAACTGCACTCAAGATGTGATAAGCTGTCTCATGCAATCTAGTCATTCCTAGTGTTCCTGACATTCTCAAAGAACAGTATCACATTGACTCCTCTGGATTATGAGCTTTTATATTTATAATACACTTAACACAATCCAGTGTTATTGTACAAAGACAAATATTTTTATGTAGCAACAACCCTTATGTTATGCTTGGTACTACTCAGTATTTCAAGCTAACAGTTATGTCTGGCTGACTCGCTGAGGTTTTCAAAGCTGATGTCAATGTATTGTTTATGCCCTTTTCATGGTAGGAGATGTATTTTTACCTAAAACTCAAGTCTTGTTCTGCAAGAGCAAAGAGGCAACTGTCTGGTAGCCTAAGGGAAAACCAACAGCTGCACGGCCACCCACGCATCGGACACAGCCCTCAGCTGTCTCTATTCAGGGCCCCATACAAATTTGGTGTTCTCGCTTTGATGTTTATGAACCGATTGCATTAAAAATACAGGATAATGATTCAGGGGTTATAGAAACTGTTATTTATACAAATGTGGTTAACACCTCATCATTTCAAACTGGCTGTGCTAATAACACTCATTGTACTCTTGTTTTCATTTTTTCCCCCTTTTTCTTCCCAAATTGAATTCTTCCCCTTTCTTCTGCAATCTACATTTGCTTTGGCAGCATGCTGAGTGTATGTTAGGAGAGGATGGAACTATTAGCCAGCTCTAGAGTCCTACCCTGAAAGGCACTTCCTCTGGAAAGCTCCTAAAGAAACAGACTCCCAGACACATCCAAACCACAGGAATTCACAACTCACATGAGAAGTGGCATCTTTCTGGCATTTCTCAGTATATCCTTCTGCGGCATCTTAAACCTACACTTTTGGAGTGGAGTAGTAAGACTTAAACCTAGATGACAAACAATGCCACAAACCAAATGCTATTTGTTAGTAAAAACTATCTATCTGTCCATAGTCTCAGTTATACGTGTGTACAAAAAGTTCATTACTATCTAGACAAAAAGTTCTAAAACCCAAACTCTTAAAATTATGTTTAGCAGAAAAAAAGATATGAACGAGATTATCCTCGCTAACAGACACTCTGCAGAGAACATAAAATCACCTGTTAGCATATACCTTCCATCTACTTCTTACCAGATTCATGGCAGCTTACCATCTTAAGACATCAATTGCAATTCTAAATGTCTCATTACTTACCACAAAAACCACTGTATTTCTAAATCTGTTTATAGGTCCTCATCATCTGATAAAATTTCAAAAAGCTCTTCTAGTGAAAAAAGTTATCAAGTCTACCTCTGTTGCAATGATTAGTAAGGTTCAAGCACTCAGCTGGCCAAAATTTACACTCCTCTTTTCTTGGGGGAGGAACGTGAGAGCTAGTTGTAGGCATGGAGTTTTCTGTTTCCAAAATCTCTTACTGTCAATGCTTGGCATTCATAGTACCTACAGGGCTTACCAGCCCTGCTGGCTGTCACTGACAACGGACAAATGCCACTTACAGATTCTCCAAGATGAGTATGAGGGATGAGCAGAGTGAACTGTGCTAACCTCAACCAGAGAACTATTCACAAATAAAAAATACAGAGCACTGAGCAATTTTAACCAACACAGGTCTAGATAGTTTCATTATTCCAGACCTCTGGAAATATATAACACAATCCATCACAATATTAGAATTTTTAAAAAGTATCTCTTACTTTTAAAAAGTATCTCTTATCTTATAAGTCGTGGTCGATAGCGGATTCATTTCAAGTTATCATTGTTCAACAAATGCGCCGCATAATTCTTATAATACACAGACTTATAGGAAGTCAACTTTAAAGAGGTTTAATCTCTTGTTCGGTATAAGAGGAAAAAAACACACCTGTATTTTACCACAAACACTTAGATAATTCCAGCAAAGTTCCGAGAACAGGTATTTAATGAATGGTATCTAAAGGTTTCACTCAGCTAATTCTTTGATATTGTGAGACACAGTGGCAACTACTGTTACATCTAAGTGAAAATTTCAATTTATGCTATTTTGTTATCACATACATATTTCCTGAAGAAATTACAAATGTTGAACATAGTCTCCAACTGTCTTAAAAAGGAGAAACTTGTGCCACAGGCGTGAATATACTGAGTACAGTAACAGTATTCAGCACCAATAAAAACGTTGTTCAATGATTCTGAAAAAAAAAGTCTTGTTTTACTTATGACTTCTAAAATTTATATGAACAAAATAACAATACATGTAAGGAGGAAAAAACTAAGTCACATGACCTAAAAGCGCTAGCTCTCTTACCTAGTCTTCCAAGCCTTTTCCATTGCTTGTTCCCTTAAAGTCCTTTACGGCATATTGTTAGATCTTATAATTCCTTGAACTCTGTGGCAACATAACTCATATTTTCAGTTTGCCTATGTTTGTGTTCACATTTCCATCTACTTTGTCATAATCATGTTTTAAGGAGTCATCTGTGAGAATCTAAAAACTTTAATGCAGTGACTTTGTAATTAAGGACGTGTACCCACATTGTGCAAACCCAAGCACAGGTAGCAGCGTTACATCACTGGCAGCCATCACAGGGGCAGCATTCAGGAAAAGGCCTTCGGAGTTCTCCCAAAATTTAAAATGTGTCTTTCTTTACCGGTTAAGACAAAAAATATTTTAAAGAACTTGGACCTTTTACAAACGTCTACTGAGCGATTTAGGGTCTAAAGGCTGACCTTTGAACTTATCCATCCAAAGATCCAACGGGATATTTTGCAGCTCTGAATACTCAACTAGTGCAGACTCTAGGTAAACTGAAAATAAATTCTGTACACCAACTTTATACTAACGGGCTAAACTACTACAACGACTGCTGACTGTTTCCAGCACTAAGCATCTCTGAATCCCAAGTTTTCAATACTAATAAACAATAACCAACATCAACACTACTTTACAAAGAAATAATACCTTCACATTATTATTTTCTACACTGCTTTTTACATTCAGAAAAGCAACTTCTTTATATTCTTTTATTTATAAAACTTTCTTTTCTTCAATGCTTATGTTACTGTCATTCTATGACAGTTATCAGAATCAACTCAGCTCTTAGATGCAATTCCAAAGACCGTAACATTAGGAAGAAGAAAATCCTAGCAGCATAACGTTTAGACAAGTGGAGCTGGGTGGTAGACTGCAGTTCTTCCTGCTCCCTCCTTAGAGAAATCAAAGATAATCCAGAGAGAATCACAATTACTTATCTCACTGGTATCAGACAAAATTTAACGTTGCAGGTGAAGTATTTAGGATAGAGGGGGCATTAGATTATTTAAAACATTCATGTAAAGACAGTTTCTCAAACAGGCTTGCTCTTAAATTTATATTTAAACATGGCGATATCTGCTTAAATAGTTTTATATACAAGATACAAAAGAAATACTAATAAACAGATTTCCACATGACCAGAATTATTTCATGCAATTTATATATACATATAACCATCTGACATAAGCCATGCCCAGCTTGTATCATCAAAAATATTCAGGAAAAAATTCTGCAAACTTTTTGGATGATGACTGAAGAACAACAAAAATATAAAATTTAATATTTAGTTCTGATGAAAAACAAGTTTTAAGTGTTATACATTTTTTCCCAAATTATCAACAATATTACACTGCAATATTATCTATTCAAACAGAGAAATATTACCTATTAGCTTACATCAGTATGTTAAGCACTCCTGTATTAACACTGAGGAATAACTGCTCACATTTATTTATATTGAAGTGACAAAACGGCAGTTACCTAATTAAATAAGAAACTGAAGTTCAAAAGATAGGACAAATACAAACATTCTGAGCTTTGCTGTTTTAAGAAGCTGATATCTTGGGTGTCTACCTTCCTTTACGATAACAAATACCAGAACATGAACTAATCTAACGTTAGTCACATAATACTCAGAGCACTCCAATGGGTTTGAAAACATAGCCATCTCTGCTCTGGCACACTGTTTCGGGGGAAGGTTACCCCTTCAATAGGTAACAGATGCAGTGCGTACAACTGGCCGGTAGAAGGGAACTATTTTTATTATGGAAATGATAGAGAAAGATTATACTTTTCCAAGATGAACAGATTACATTAATAAATAATTCCCTTATAAACTTAGATCTGGGGCTGGGTTTTGCAGGAATTTTGGAATCATACTGAACAGCCTTACTTTTCTCTTTTTACTTAAATACCAAGTCTCAAGTCAGAAGCAATATTCTGATGTAAATTTCCCTATTATAAAAAAAAAAAAGATTACCTCTTGTGTAACTTCATCATTTCACTGCTTGGGTTGTCCAGTTTGCAGAACAGGAAGGGAGTAAAGATACCAAATATGCTTCCTAAGAAAGCTCATCTTCTGCATAAGTTACACATGACAATTTCAAGCTCAATAAATCTTTAGTGAAAAAATAACTGGAAAATTAAGTGCATTTCCTGTTTGTATTACTTGGTATGAAAAAGGAAATAATATAAAAGTAGAAAGCTGGTACTAAACCTAATTTGTCCTGCAAAATCAAACATTTTAATTTCATTGCAAACGTTTTTACAACTTACCAAAAACACAGAAAAATCCACCACTCCCCAAAGCTAGATACACGATCTCTAAAGTGAAAGGCAAAAAACCCATTTACTTCAAAAAGCTCATTATACTTATGAACCAGGGCTGCATGCCTAGGACACTGGTGACGCTGAGACAGCACAGCACGGGCATGACCAATCTGTAAACATCTGACAATACTGGCACAACGCGGATCTTACTGAGTAAGCAGAAATATTCCTAGTTGCAAATGTTTGGAGGAACAATGCCTCAAAGTATACAAAAGTTCAAAATAGAACTTTACCAAAGTTTACATGTAAAGGGAAAACATCAAAGCTGGTAAAAGTGTTTTGGCTTTCTCACAAAGGGTATTCTTCTAATTCCCCGTCAGAGATCGGAGTAGCTTTGTGGAAAAAACACAGCAACTGCCAACTGTGTTGCCTCCATTGTTTTACACATCACAGTCACTCGCAGAGCCTGGTCGGCTGTCATCAGGCCCGTCACTCTCCTTGTCCCAGTCTTTCATAGAGGCTCCCATCATGAAATCGTCACGTAGGATCGTCCAACCTGGAGTTTCTTCTGGCTTCGCTTCAGGCTGAGGAAAATTATACAGTCAAAACATCCAGAAGTCAATCAATTCAGTTATAACAAAGTAAATTCAACTGAACAATGCAAACTTTTTAAAGTTTTGGTTTACAATAGGGAGAAATCAAAACAAACTATAAAGTGAGATTATATACTACAATCACATGTTAATTAAATATCTTTGCAACCCTGTAAAAGACACATGAAAGCTAAATGTGGGGGCAGTAGAGAAAAGTACAGTAAAACCTGGGTTTGATACCAAATATTTAAAATCTTTTAATAATTGGAACAGAACATGAACAAAGGTTCTTAAACTAAAATAACCCAAATAAAGACAGAAACCAATTCCATATTGTGCTAAGCATCTATGGATGCCTTTTTAACATTTTATACATATTTGAGCCAAATCTTGTTTATTCAGGTTATAATATTACTGACCCAATCATGTAATCAAAGACTAATCATATGCTAGAGTTACCAGTAAGCAGACAATGAATGTAACAGTCAATTCATTTTGGCCATAGAATTTTCCTAATACTATGTAGGTTAAGACTTACTTGGTGCAACAGTACCACCTTGTGGTATTAATTAAGTAATACAACATGTGCAATAATCAGATTTAGTATTCACTCCACATTTATCAAAAACCATCCCAAACACTTCTTAGTTTGGACAAAACAAACCTGCTGTCTCATGGAGCAGAAATACACAATTTTGGAAAAACCTAAATATGTGAGAATCCATGACATCTAACTGTTAAGTAGCGTTATCTTTAGCAGTTGACCAGGTAAGAGGCAATCCTTAAAAGATTTAAAGATAGCTGCAACAACAGATTATTTACCTGACACTATGAAACTCCCCATTATTTTACAAAAGATGGCAGTACCCATTACATTGAAAAACAAACAAACAAACATTACATTGAAAAACAAACAAAAACACTATTAAACACTATTATTTCCTGTCTTCCTAGGAAAAATTAAGCTTAGTTGTTGTCTAGATATAACCTGACTAGGCAATATATGATGCAAGTAATGGTCTTAGAATCAATACAGCCAAAGTCAAAATTCAGCACATTTCATTCTGTGATTTAATCATCACCAAGATTTAAAGATTATGTTGGGGTTTTTAACTGGCCGGGACTTTACTCTGTTAGCTCTGCCCTCAGACCAGGGAGGGTCGCCCCAAGAGGCCACTGGGCTTGTCTGGACAATAGGATGCTGGACTCTGCTGGGTATATGCTTGCAATGAAGGAATCTCAACTTGAACTGTGGTTATGCAGCAAGGTGGAAGAATCCACCGTGGATGGAGGGTTGTGGGAGGGGTGGGGGGAATCCCAGTACCTATAAAACTGTTTCACATAATACAATGTTACTAACAATAAAAAAAAAAAAAAAAAAGAAAAGAAATTAGGAAATTCTATAAAAGTAAAAGAGTACAGGCCTCCTTGCTTTGGCCTGGCTCATCAGGCAGGGCACGTGAGCAGTGAGCCAGCAGATGGAAGATTCTGTCACTCTGCCTCTCAAATGAATAAATCCTTAAAAAAACACAAAATAAAATAAAAAGGAAAAAAAAAAACCTTTTTTTTTTTTAGTAAACTACTTATAATTGTAGTTAGTAACATAAATTAAAGCCTATCTGAGGATTCTATGTAAAGGACATTTCCAGCAGAAATCAACAGACGTAAAATATGACCCTTAATCTTCAGAAATGGCACAAGAGCATGAATGGTTGCCCACTCCAAAAGGTACAATTACATCCTACTGACCCTAAGGAAAGGGACGCTCCCAATTTGGGTTAGAAGGTAATTAATGAGATGATAAATGCAGAGTTCCTTAAGAAAAAATAATTGCGTCTTTCTCTTTTCCGTATGATTTATTTTTATTGGAAAGTCAGATGTACAAAGAAGAGAAGAACAGAGAGGAAGATGTTCCGGTCACATATTCATTCCCCAAATGGCCGCAAGGGCCAGAGCTGAGCCGTTCCGGAGCCAGGAGCCTCCTGGATCTCCAACGTAGGTACAGGGTTCCAACGCTTTGGGCCATCCTCAACTGCTCTCTCAGGCCACAAGTAGGGATGGGGCCGCCCAGATACAAGTTGGTGCCCATACTGGATCTCGGTGTGTACAAGGTGAGGCCTTTTTAGCCACTAGGCTACCGTGCCAGGCCCAATTACATCTTTCTAAGAACTCCAGTCCTAATACTAGATGACACACTTTATTGATTCATTTTTTTCCTCTACTGAATTATTTTTGCTTTAATAGGTTCCTGCTCAAAGTGATCCTGTTGTGGCTTCTATTTCAACTGGCTATCCAAATACAACAGAAGAGTTTTTCCTTAATTATTTTGAGATTTATTTGAAAGGGAGAGTTAGAGACAGAGTGAGCCACAGCAGTCAGGAACTTCCATCTGCTGACTTACATTCCAGGTGGTCCCCAAGGCTAGTGCTGGGCGAGGCCAATGCCAGGAACCAGAAGCTTCTAAGTCTCGCATATTGGCACTGAGCTCCAAGCAGCTGGGCAATTTTCTGCTGCTTTTCCCCAGCAAATTAGCTGGGAGCTGGACCGGAAGTGGAGCAGCCTGTGGCCACAAGAGATGCAGGTGTTGCAGGTGGTAGCTTAATCCACAATGCAAACACCAGCCCCAGGAGTGAGTCTCAGAAAGCGTTCATTTAAGCAGCTGCCAGCCTTATGCCGACACAGTGTAAGCTATCACTTTCAGCAATATGGGTGTCAACTCAAGCCCCCCCAACTGCTCCTCCTTCAATCCAGTTCCCTGCTGGTGTGCCTGGAAAAGCAGGAGAGGAAGGCGCATGCATGTCTTTGGGACCCTACACCCATGTATGAGACCCAGGCGAGGTTCCTGGTTCCCATCAGCCTGGCCTGCTACTGCCCTGTGACTAATTGGGGAGTGACCCAGCGGGTGGAAGATAATACTGATTTTCCTCACTATTAATACCATTTCAGAACTGTTAATAAGTCAAAGTTAACTGAAATGTCTTAAAAAGCCAAATATAACATCTTAAGGAACCTTCTAACATAGGGTTACATACATGTTCATATTAAGAGTCTGAAGCATTCAAAATTTTTAAACATTCTGAATCTCTTTCCAGTTAGTCCCTTTAAAAAAATTTTTTTTTTAAATTTTCCTTTCCCCTCCTTGGCCCACGTCCCTGCCCTGCCAGTTAGTCTCTTAAAGCACATCTCTGCAGCTTTATTTGCTGTGTTAGATGGTATGTACAATACAGCCTGTATTTATACAATGCATTCATATGATGTTATACAGCATATAACATATGAATGAGTAGTTATAAAAAAATTGAGCCAAGGTGTGTCTTCTCATTAACGCATTTATTAAAAGGCTCAAAACAGAAAACACATGAAAAATATTCTTTAAAATTTTCAAATATCAACAAAACTAAAGTGTGTCTAGCAATATCAATGTCTCCAGTGAGCTCAACTAATAAAAATAGACTGCTACCATCACAGCTCCCTGGAGAAAAGGGTCATTCCAGTCCAGTCTCGGGACTCGGGGAGCCAAAGGGCGCCGGGGCGAGTCCGTGCCCAAAGGATAAAACAGTCAGTTCCCACAGCCACGTTCACAAACTTTAAACAAATATGCATCTATTTCTATCTGAAAGACAGAATTAAGAGAGAGACAGAGAGAGGGACAGAAAGAGAACATAGGTCAATCAGAAGTCAAGAGCTTCCCCTGGGTCTTCTGAGTGCACAAGTCCAAGGACCTGAGCACCTCCAGCGCCTGCCCAGGCCACCAGCAGGGAGCTAGACTGGTTGTGGAGCAACCCAGACTAGAACCTGTGCCGTTCTAGGGCGTTAGCATTGCAAGTGGAAGCTGAACCTGCTAAGCCACAGCACTGGCACCAACATTCATGTTCTGTAGCTTATAGTAATATATTATATGAATAAAAAGTAACTTCAAAAATATCTCTTCATTATTTTAAAAAGAGATAAAAGCAGTGATGGAGCCAGACAGGGTTAACTGCTGACACTAGAGCTGATTGTTAACCAACTCCTTACCCTGGAAAGTACTAATTAAGAGGAACAGAAACCAGCACCCATCTCTAAGAACTTTAATTTCTCTCAGGAAAAGTCAACTAATGAAATACAAAACAACTAAGAAAATCACCATTCTGTAACCTCCAACACAGAACTCTCTGAGGTGAGGATCAGTTAAAAGACGGACGGAGAAAGGTATATTCATTCCCAGAAACTGTTCTCTAACTCAGCATGGGGAGAAGGAAAACTGCACCTTTAACAGGCATATTTTTATATTACATTAACTAAATGAAAGACTAGCATCACTAAACAGGACATTCTGATACAATCTCTCTTGATGCACGACAGTAAGCACCCAGCATGAAATAACCAAACCAGAAAACGTTACTCTAAATATCATCAAGCCTTTAGTATGATTTTCCAGACACAGAAATAAACCACACACGTTACGAAACATTATGATAAAACAACTGACAACTCAAAACTAGGGTCTGATATAGATCTGGCTGAGCAGCAGGATCCCTATGGGTTCTGGGGTCCTGCAGAACTGCATATGAACCAGATCCCATCCGTCACTACCAATGAGACCTCAGGTACAGTTACCCTTTCTGTTTCACATCTCTAAAGCACGGTCCCTACCACTTCCAAAGGTATTATATAAAAACACCGTGCATGGTATCTGGCACAAAACAGACACCATGCAGTTTCAGTGCCTCCTCCCACTATCTTACGCTGACACCTGCCTTCTCTGTACCCACAGAATCCCCCAGCTGGGACATCTGCAGCCCCCTGATGCTGCTCTGTGCAAAGGTGAGCACATCCCAGCAGCACAACAGCATCCATTAGAAAACAAACTTTCTTGGTAAGTAAAATTTTATAGTTAGTTCAACCACAGCACACAACCTGGCAAAATCTAATTTTTTTTTTTTGGTAAGATTTGTGCATTACTAAACCCAACCTACCTAAAATGAATGTGTAAGATTTTCTCAAATCAAACCAGAATTCTTACCAAATTACTGGCTTATCTTTGATACTCAATAATTCAGATAAGCAGTAAAAGTCTTCTTTCAAAATTTACTAACGGAAGAAGTGATCTTGGAGAAGTAGCCTACGTATTGGAAATTCATGACTTTGAACTCAGAAATAATTGTGAACATGTCTGTAGCAATCGTGATGAGTCAAGCATCTGTTACACACTTGACATGTATCTCACTTGACTCTCCCATCCCCAAGGAGAGAATCGTTAATGCGACTACAGGTAACAATGCTTTGAAGCCAGACTATCTGATTCTAGAATCTGTGGCCTGAGCAACTATTGTTGCTCTTAATAGAGGCCATGCATTAGTCAACCACCCACTGTTCAGAACATGATTTTTACAAAAAAAATCCAATATTTAAAAATGTATTTTAACATTTATTCTTATTGAAAGGAAAATTTAGAGAGAAACAGCGACCCAAAGAAAGACATTCACTCCACTGTTTCACTCCCGGCCAACACGGCCAGGAGCCCCTTCCCAATACCCCGTGCAGGTGCAGGGTTCCCAGGCTGTGGGCCACCCTGTATTGCTTTCCTAGGACACAAGCAGGCCGTTGGATGGGAAGTGGGGCAGCCAAGACATGAACTGGCACCCGTATGGGATCACAGCACTTGCAAGGTGAGCATTTAGCCACTGAGTCATCACAGCAGCCAGACATTACGGGTTCAAATATACGGTACAAACTGCACTCAGGTAGGACCTTCTTTCTTTACAAAAAAAAATTGATCTAACAAAAATCCTACATTGGTAGCAGCTACAAACATTTGGGGTATTCCTTCATAGAGTGCTATGAAATACATAGCATTATTATTAATTTTAATACAACAGTAAAGATTTCCACAGCAATTCCATAGTGACCAGCACTTAGTCTTCATTCACACCTACATTTTGCCCATGTCACAACACTCCACGTACCGTACTGCCAAACATAAGTTCCCTTTGATTAGCAATGCGCTTTAATTCAGAAACGTTCCCCCACTAAAACTAAACAGCATATTTTAACAGACATTAATACAATGAGAAACTGTCTTTAAACTTTTCTCATCAACAATAATGTATACGATCCTGCTCATTCTCATTTCAAACTTGGCTGTCTTGCTTTTGTCTGAACTGTAATCTATTTAGGCATTTTCAGTAAACAAACATTCAGCTGAATTATTTAGAAAGTTGGAATTCCACACATTCCTACCAGAGCAGCTCTGGCGGGAGAGTAAAGCACCGCTGCCATGCCATGCAGGGGCGGCCCAAAGACAGCATCTTTCTGCATTCCCTCATGGCCTTCACACCCTAACGTCTATCTACAAACTGAACTATAAGAGTTGTTGGGGACCAGCAAGTCCAGTCGAGACAGCACCACTCTTCCCAGACTGCCTTTTTGAGAAGATCTCGGCGGATCTCAGCACCTGAACGCCTACAAAGTTGGAACACTAACAGCAATTTGGATTCTGAGTTTTAAGGTATCAAAGCCACTCAGGTATTTCAAAAGCATTCTCCATTCCCACTACTAAATAACTGATTATGAAATTACAACACTGTGTCCCGTATGAGAAAAGAGAAACATAGTAGGGTAACTTATCTCTGTGCCTGAGAGCTGAAACACAACACAAAATCACAAAAACAAGTAAATAACAAAAACTAGCATATTCCAGCAACTTTTTCCCCTAAGGATTTTTATTGATTCTTAAAATGTATTTATTATATTATATATTTATATCATGTTATATATTTTACATTATGTATTTATATTATTTATTTATTACATTTATTTGTTTTTGATCTATTGCTCTGCAATCACTAAGAGAATGCACTGAGCAGAAGTTAGCTAACATTTTCCCTTACCGCAGAATTTTCATTACAGCTTCCCTAAGACAAAATAAAACTTAAAATTGATGCCTGGCTTTTTCAAATACATGAAAATCTTCCAGAAACTTCGTATTTCAGGACAATTAACAAATAACCAATGCTTTTTCAACAAACTAAAAATATCCATTTGCTTCTGTTCCACCGTTAGGCTAAGAGAACTTTTTACTTCTAAGAGGCCTAAAAGAGTTTGAGGAAAAAGTAAAAGCAATCAAAACATTAAAAATGAAGAAAACGTTGGTTCTAAATTAGCAAAACATTGATTACTTTAACATACTGGATACCAAAATACTTAAGATAGGTACATGTTCTAAATGGGGGGCCAAAAAAGAGCATTCTTCCCTTAAAATTTAAAGTTGAAAAATTTTATGAATATTTCCTTATATAAAACATAAGCTTTTGTTATTTCCTTAAACAGCATCCTAAATGCAAATTAATCTTTTTCGAAGCCACTCAGGGTCAGCACTGAGACATCACGCAACGTGCCTTGCCGCTGGCTGCGATGTAACTTAGTTGGTCCAAGAAAAGAGTTAAGGCTTTGTACTAGAGAATTATTTCCAGATTAACTGACAACTAATTCTTTAAACCCAGAAACTTAAAGTTAACCTTCAGGGGGAAAAAAAAATCTGTAAAACATGCTATTCACCTTTCCCTACCTGGTAAAGAGGCCTCAGGGTCCTGAGAGCGAGGACCAGGAGGAATTCACTATTGATTGAAGAGCTAGCCTACTAAACTCCAGCCATTCGTGCATTTCAGAGAAAACACAGAGTGACATGGATAAAGAGAAGATTCTAAATGCTTCCAAAGAGTAAAGAAGCAACAGCGCTGAATCAATATTGGGGAAAAGGGAAGGAATCCAGGGCAGAAGGGGGTACAGATGATTAAGGCACAAGTAGTTTCAAATTCCTAAATAAATTATTTTCCACCACAGAAATCTATGTTACACTGATTTGTTATTGCTTCCATAAAAAAACAAAAACAAGCAAAAAACCACAAACTAGGCAGCTTGAAAAAAAAAAAAAAAGCAACTGACTCTCACACAGAAGCACATTATCTACATGATAAGGTCCTGTTCTCTCTGGGAGCTCCAAGTCACAGCAGCCCCACACCTCATGGCCTTCCTCCAACCTCGTGCGGTTCAATCAACCACCACATTGTGGCTCAGTTCGTTCGGCTGCCACTGGAGATACCAGCATCCCACTGCTGCTCTGTGGATCCAGCTTGCCTCTGGGGCACCTGGCAAGGCAGCGGCAGACAGCCCATGCACTTGGGACCCTGTCACCCACATGGGAGATCAGGACGGAGTTGCTGGGTTCTGCCCTCAGCCTGGCCAACGTCTGAAGTCATTTGAGGATTGAATCAACAGGTGTGACATCTCTGTCTTTTGTTCTCCATCATTTCATTTTTCAAATAAATAAGCAAATGCAAAAAAAAAAAAAAAATCCTCAACTTCCATAAAAGCTAGTACCAAGTATTGCTAAAAACAGATATTATTAAAGAAATTAATAAATAAAAATAGAAAATTTTGATATTCTAATGCAGAAAACGGCTCTGAGAAATATCACTTGTTCGAAAACAACCGTGATGATGTTTCAAAGATTTTTATACTGTGAGCAATTAGTTTTATGAAATCATGAAAAGAATTTATGTCCTCAATCTCTTGATCAGCCAAATATTACCAAGGATGACTTGTTACCAATATTTCTTTAAACTCGACTTTTCATATTTTAGGAGTCACATACCATCACAATTATCTCTGTGAACAAAAGTCTCAAATTGAATCTGTACACCTCTCACTTCGGCTTCTAAGACTTCAAAAAGCATAAATGGTAAAATTTTAGGTAGGAGACTTAGTAGCAGCTTTCACACTTAGCAAATTATCATGAAACTAAAGAGTTCAAAAATTAAACTAGGCTGTGGCCAAATTGGAATTTCCATAAAATCTAAAATGACTTGTAATTCTATGGTGTGATTTTTCCATCTCAAAACTCCTTAGTTTAGAGCTAAAAAGGCTGACACACTGAACTCTTTAAAAAGTGTTACCTGATTGGCTTTTGAGTTCTTGCCGGCTGAGCTCTTCTCATTTGCACGTCCATCCATTCCTCTGAGAACACTGATGAAATCTTTCTTGGAAACAGTTGATATTAACTTAGCACGCTTTCTAATGGAGCCTCCAGCTTCTTTAACCTTTTCATCAACATTCTTTTGATGTTTTTGAACAGCATTAAACAACTGTACCACACCTCTACAAAATATAAATGACCAGAACCACGCTGTTAAACAACCACCCTGCAACATGAACTCTACGGATGTAGGAACAGTTATTTTCATTGCTTAGGAAAAGGGCAAAGACTTACCAGGCAACCAAATCTAAGAACTGCACTCCCAGGCCACAAACAAGGAGCTGGATGGGAAGTGGGGCCGTCAGGACCAGAACCAGCACCCACACGGGATCCCAGGCGTGCAAGGTGAGGATTTTAGCCACTACACCATCGCGCTGGGCCCTATATTTTTAAATAGTAACTCAAATGTTTTTAAGTAGTAAGTCTCCCAACCTGCTGAATACTGTAAACACACAGAAAATGCTCTGTTCTCAAAAACGACTGCCCAAGTGGACCTGGCAATGGGTACCCAACGGCTGCCATACCCTGCTTTCTCTCTGGACACAGAAGCTTAGTGTTAATAACTTAAAAAGAGAGACAACAGAAAAGGACAGCATGAAGGTGCCATGACATGTAATATATTATGCCTTCAATGTAATACAAGGTATTTTTAATAATGTAATAAAAGAGAACAATAATCATCTAATGCTTCAAATACTGGTAACTATTATAAGAAAAATGCAGAAACAGGTCTGATCACACCGTTCTCGTGGCTATAAAAATAAGATAAATCGAAACAGGTTTATACCAAGCATATACTTAGCACATTAAATTCCTGCCTCAGGAGACATGCAATAGCTTCGGCTGAATTCAGTGTTGAATAGCAGGCTTAAATATTTATCATTTGGCTCTGAGAGAGCAGAGTTGAAGAAGCAAATCTGATGAAATATAGGCCGCTATCAAAGCTTTACTAGGTTTATTTTTTTAAAGGGCAAAACCAGTCTTACCTCGTCGCAATTCTCTGAAGGTTTCTCTCTGTTTCTTTGTCTTTGACAACATCTGGCTTTACTCTGCACAGCATCTCCCACTCCCGCTTCTTATCAAGCTGTGTTATAATAAATATTGTTAGGTGAAAGAATATTAGACACTTTGGAAAATGCAGCACACTTTGATATGATACTCTGAGAGAGGACAAAGGCAATAAATCATTCTGGTTCAGTCTGTCCTGCCTTTTCGGGGTTCAGCTCGGAGGCTGTGGTTAGCGCGCGGCACGTCATCCGAGAGGCACAGAGTGAGTTTCTGCCAGGGTCTCAGCCGGCGGGGGCCTGGAGAGCTGCCAGCACATCCAGCCTGCAGGCCGCGGCTGTGTGAGATGAACTGCCGTCACCAATCATCTCAGAGGAGCCGAGCAAGATGCCATCCAACCTCTTCAGTAACTACAGGGCTAACTACTGCTTCTCCTTACTTTCAGAATCTGACGTCTTCTTCGGCATGAAAGAATGAAGAAACGTGTACCAGTTTTTAAAATATCCTCTTATCCAGATATTTTTCTAACTATTTATTGTTCAGAAATCACTTAAACTCATTTCTCCTCTGTAAGCACACGTGATCAATACCCTTGCCATATATGCCTTGTCAGTCACAAGCTCACACAAACTGATTTTCACTTTTCATGCAAAAAATAGAAGGGGAACTGAGAAACAGAAAAAAATCCATTGACAACGTAATCTCATTCAAAATTGTCTGTGATGACTGTCCCGGTTGCAATCACCAGGCTACTCAGGTCTCCTTCTGAGACTAACCTTCCACCGAGCACTGCATATACTGAAAACATGGGGTGGGTGACACGGCATAACAAGTTAAAACCACTGCTTGCAGGCAGACAACACAAGCACTGGGTTCAGCCCCAGCTGCTCCACTTCTGATCCAGTTCCCTGCCAATGTACCGAGAAAAGCAGCGGTAGATGGCCAGTCCCTGGATCCCCGTCTCACATGGGAGACCTAAATGAGGCTCTGGACTCCTGGCTCTAGCCCAGCTCAGTGCCAGCCATTGTGGCCAATGGGGAGTGAACTAGAAGATGGAAGACCAATTCTCTCTCCCTCTCTCGCCTTCACTCTATGTCTTTCAAATTAATAAATCTTTAAAAATTCTTAAAATATATACTAATATGAGTGAGCCAGTTAACAGGAAGCTAGCAAGAATCCAAAGATTCAAAGCAGTAATAAAGACTAGTGGAGGGCCTGGTGCAACAGCCTAGCAGCTAAGTCCTCACTTTGCATGCACCAGAATCCTAAATGGGTGCTAGTTCTAATTCCAGCAGCCCTGCTTCCCATCCAGCTCCCTGCTTTTAGCCTGGGAAAGCAATCAAGGATGGCCCAAAGCCCTGGGACCCTGCACCCACATGGGAGACCAGGAAGAAGTTCCTGGCTTCCAATCAGCTCAGCTCCAGCCATTGCGACCAATCGGGGAGTGAGTCAGCAGGTGCAAGCTGCTCCTCTCTGTATATCTGATTTTCCAATAAAAACAAATACATCTTAAAAAAAAAATTTGTGGAAATAGTGTCTTCTTTTCTCTCTTGCTTTTCTGCTTTCACTTTTTATAAATAAAATAGTAAAATCAAAGTTCTCCTAGCACTACAAAATGTCCCCAGATAATTCATTTTAACAGTCATAAAATTTACTATCACTCTATGCCAGAAACGAAAACAAAACAAAACAAAGCAAAGAAACAAAAACAAAACAGTTCAAGTTTAAAATAGCTCTTAATTACCTGTAACTCTCAAGGAAAAATAAGTATGCTAAATACTAAAATAGCTTCTACTTTGAGAAGTACTCTTCTTTTTGCAGTAAAAAATAAGTAGCAAATACACTGGAAACCTGTAATATCTAGCATTAATGAGTAACTTTTCTTGTGGTTTATGTTATCTTGCTTTGCTTAGATGATTAAAGAAACTTAGACTAAGTTTCTAAACATAATGTTGGTTATCTAGCCCTATATGAAAAAGAAATTAGAACACTGACACGCCACCTGGACAAGCATGCAATGAACGACCTGGTACAGGTAAGAACAGACAGACAATCCTGTGCATAAGACAGCTGCTAGGATATACCTGTTTTCTTCTCTCAAGTCTTTCTTGCTTTAACTTTTCTTTTTCCTTCTCCAGCTTTTTATTTTTGACGAGAATGGTGGGTTTACTTTTAGGAATTTGCTTATTAAGGATTTTAGCCATAGCATCTGCCCAGCCCATATTAGTCCCAACACCTGACTCTGTGTTTTCATTTTCTTTGTCACAGGGTTCAGCATCGTCCTCATTGTCAGCATCCATAGCTTCATCATCAGAAAAGTGATCCTTTTCAGATCCGCAGCTTCCTACAGAACCTGAAAGGAATTAAAAAACAAAGACAAAACTTTCAACATGCTGGACAGAGGCTGCCATGCCAGCACCATACCCCTGGCACTCTCTGTGAAGCTCCAGCCCTTCTGGGCAGAGGACACTTGCTGAGTTGCACTGTTGCCGTGTTAATGGAGGAGAAAGAGCAGGACCATCTATGTCGCTGCCGTCAGACACCAAAGACCCAGATGAGCCGTCAGGAACAAACCTAAGAGCATATGCTACGTGCCTGGTGTTAAAGGCGACGATTGCTGCTCTCACAGAACCAAAACAGACTGCCACTCACCTACATGGACCTGACTTGTGTCAGTAAAGTGGCCAGAAGAAACTAATGAAGACAATGTGACACTGACAATATAAAACTTTATTTATTAAGAAACCTATACAACGCTACAAAACTAATTCTTTTTAAAGAATTTGGTTCAGCTATTTAAAGATTTGAATTTACGTGCAGAAAAACAATTTAAAAATCAGCCTCATATTTGCAAACTTTACTGTAACATAAAATTAGGCATTTTTTTGTGGGAGGTTCCTAATGATGGGCCCAAGACAAAGTTCTGAGTTGAAGATGAACATTTACAAATCAATTCTTGAATTTTATCACACAGAATCACCAAAATGACCTACATAGGTTATCAGCAGTTTAAATCATCGTAAGGTTTAAATGGCTAGGGTCAGAAGATTGGAAGAAACACCGGTGTAGTTAACAGCTTTGCCTGAAAATACATTTTCTGAGAAGCTCTGGGTCTTCCGGTTCTAATCCCGGCAGCTCCACTTCCCATCCACCTCCCTGCTTGTGGCTCCGGAAAGCAGTCGAGGATGGCCCAAAGCCTTGGGACCCTGCACCCGTGTGGGAGAAGTTCCTGGCTCCTGGCTCCAGATCGGCGCAACACTGGCCATTGCGCTCACTTGGGAAGTGAATCATCAGATGGAAGATCTTCCTCTCTGTCTATCTGACTCCGTAATAAAAATAAATAAATCTTTAAAAAAGAAAAAATATCAATCCTTGGTACAATGTCAAAACTGCAACACTGCCATCTAGTGTTCTGTCCTGATATATGCACACACAAACTGCCATAAATCCCAATTTCACATTTTTCAATTGCACAGTAAAGGCAGTCAAAAAGCCTTATGATCATCTAAGACACTCCAATGCTCCACTTCAAAACTCCAGCGACTTTCCTCTGAAATATTTCTCACCCAGCTTCACTACTACAACATGCATACCATGGACATGCACATTAAAATCAACAAGTGTTTCTAACACCATTTGCTCTACATTCTGTGCTGATCCTACCGATAATAATAATAGATCCAGAATAACTTGTTAAAGCTATGGTTTTTATTTTATTATTTTTAAGGTATTCTACCTAAGAGGTTTCGGGTCAGGTACACACCACCAATGGAAACACTGACATTGCTATATGAACAAATTTGAAATTTGATAAGAGGTCTATAAATAAATTTAAAATATAATAAGAGGTCTCTTGGCATGCTGAAAAACACAATTTTTTTCTAAGATACCAAAAAAAAAATACCACTAACCAATCAGAAATTACTGCATTCTATTAAGATGAGATTTGTTAAATTTTTCATTCACCAATCCTTTTCTGAGAGAGAGAAGGAAATGGGGAAGGCGGGGAAGATTATCTTCCACCCATCCTCAATGTCCACAGCAGCTGGGCCTGGTCCAATCCAGAGCCAACAGCCCACAGCTCAATCTGGGTCTTCCACATGGGTGGGCACAGGCCCAGTCAGCAACTTGGGTCATCTTGTGCTTCCTCCCAGAGTCCACATGAACAGAAAACTGGAATGGAACCTGAACTTAGGGTTCAAATGGGGGCATCACGGTACCGGATACCAGAGTTCCAAGAAGCATCTCAACTGCTGACTAACTGATCGTCCACACAGCAAGTCGAGCAGACAGATCCAGTGCTTTAGGGCAGAGAAGAAAATGATCAGACATGTGCAAAATACCTTTGAAGTCATCTGTGTTATATTTAATATGAATTTTGCATTCCATTTCAAAAATCTTGAAATTAAAAAAGGACTCCAAAGCATGGCTACCAGAACCAAAGACTAAAATTTCCAATCACAGCAACGCCCTAAATAATAGGCACAGGCCACAGGAGCCTACTGAGGGCTTCAGATGTGGTGAGTACAGTTGAGGAAGAGAATTTTTTATTTTAACCACCTTAAGCAGCCTCATGTAGCTTGGCCACGTGTGGCTAGAAGCTGCTACAGTGGACAAAGCAGGGATAAACCTCTTAGGTACAGACGGAAGGCATTTCTCATCTCCTGCTGCCGTTCCGCTAAGCCTCCTGACCCCTTTTAAACCTGTTACTTGTTCCTCAGCCAGATACTGTGAGCTGCAGACAGGAGAGCAGGCCCTTTTCTTTAGAAGCAGGACACAGTTTTAAGGAGAACCAAAGTTCCTCCATACGTACTGAGGACTCATGAATGACAGGCAAGAAAAGGAAAAAAAAATAAATAAATAAACCTCTAAACCTAAGTTCTTTTCTGAAGAACTCAAAGATCTTGGTAGAACAGACAAACCAGGTAGCCAACTGCAATATAAAGCTCTTAATTGTCCTGTAAGAAATGCAGTGAGGGGCCAGTAAACCACTTTTTGAATGCCACCTGGGATCAGTGTCAGTTCCCATCCAGCCCCCTGGGAAGGCACAGGATGATGCTTAACATGTCTGGTCCCTGCCATGCAAGTGGAAGACAAGGAAGGCTTCAGCTTAATCCAGACCTGACCGCTGTGGCTAAGCAGCCAGTGACGAGGAAAGGGTGGTATCTGACACAGGTGACGGAAAGTTTCCTTAAAAGGCAAGTTAAGTTTAACTATCTGTAGAAAGAAAAAGGCCAAAGATTCCACTTAAGTCACATTAACTCTTTCCTCAAGGGACAAGATCGCCAAACCCAAAACAAAAATATCCAAGATTTGAATTAAGGCACTGCATGGAAATAAAAATTAATGTAATCATGTCATAGCAGGCATCACAACCAGAAGAAATCAATGAGCCCAAGTGTTTGACAAAGTTCAAGGACACGAAATCCTTATAAGAATGGAAAGGAAGTTTAGATTGGCTGAAATTGGAAGCTCTGAGAACGAAGGGCAGGCGCTGTGGCACAGGAGGCTAAGTCACAGCTTGAGAGGTCCAAGTTCTGTATCATAGAATAGATTCCAATCCAGAATATCTGCTTTGGACCCTGCTTCCTGCTAACGCAAATCCTGGGAAGAAAATGCAATGGCTCAAGCTCTTGGCCCCCGGCACCCACATGGGCAGCTGAGACAGGAGTCCAGCCTCCTGACTTGAACCCAGCCAAGCTCAGGCTATCGAAAACATGTGGGGAGTGAATCAGCATATGCAAGTATTTCTCTATCACTCTGCCTTCTGGATGTATGAAAATAACTATGTTTAAGAATTGAGGCTATAAAAGCAGAACAGACATTTCATAACAGTCTCATTTGTGGAAAAGATGAGCTAACCCCGAAACTAACATCAAGCAATTTAACAGCTCCACATTTAAATGGCTTCGAGTAGGATTCCAAACTGCCTCTGCTCTTTCCCTCTACACTTACCTTAAGCTCTTACAGTTTTTTTTAATTAGCTGAAAGCAGGGGGAAGAGAAAGAGAAGACACAGAAAGGCAGACAGATGTCAAAATTGTATTACTTCCTCAGCGAATTGTTAGGATGATCAAATGGGATAACATGAGAAATGTTAGCACAAACCTAGGGGAAGCACAGCAAAGGGATCTAATAAACCTAACAATGAAAGAAAAGGAAAGGTATGGAAGGGGAGGGAAGGGAGAGGGCGGGGGAAGGGAAGGGAAGGGAGAAGGAGGGAGGGAGGGAGGGAGGGAGGGAGGGAGGGAAGGGAAGGGAAGGAGAGGCAGGGAGGAAGGAAAGAAAGAAATGACAACAGTAAAAATTTTACCTAAACATCTTGGTTATAGTTGAGAATTCCCATGCCAGAAAAGCCTCATATGCAGGGTAACTTTCATTTCATTTCACCAATAGTCAATGTTTTTACCTTACAGAATAGTAACAACTGGCACACATGTATTTAGAATCCTCATCACAGCACTTTTTTGAGTTGTTCTTAGCAACTCTATGTGCACTGATGTCTCTAAAGATCAGAACCATTAAAAACATCCCCCAAATCACAGTAACGGGGTGAAGTGCAGGGCTGTTGGATTTCTGAGATAACACAAGGTTTGGAACCAGGTTCACTCCTGAACAGCATGCTCTGAACTAACACAGCAGATACTCATTAACTTTTTACATCATTGTTTAACAAAGTTTGCTTTAAAATGGAACTTGTGTCTAAGCTTAGGTTAACCAGAATGGCCCATGTGCTATCCCATTCTGATTTTACTCAAGTGCACATAGCCTCCTAGTTATTAAAAACCCTAAAACTACTATTCCCCATTGACGTATAAATCATGTGTTCTGCTCAAGTCACATGGTCTTTCTGAAATTATTACTAAATTTAGAATATTAAAAAAAAATGATGCTTTACAACCTTTTAAAAAAAAAGCACTACACTTAAAAAAAAAAAAAAAATGAAGTCATCCCAGGCTTCCACAAAAATAGCCAAAACAAAGTGAAAGTGCTACCAGGGGACAACACTGTCAGCTGTGATTACACGTGCTATCTGGGCAAGCCAAAGCAGATAGCGCCCGGAAGGCATCTGTTTCCTGAGTCTGTCCCATAAATCGCTAAACCACTCAAGGAAGACTGCGATATACTTCATTTCTCAGGCATGCTCTTCAGCTATTTTAAGTAACCGAAATGATGAATGAGCCTATAAGCTACAGTCTGATGAAAAGCACATTTTTCTGCAAAGTTACTATATCTTTAATCTAACTTTGTAGTTTATCAAAAATGAAGGGATATCTCCCAGGACCTTCTAAACTGGCTAGTCTCCAAGTCCTGACTTGGAAGTCCTGACCATTTGTCATGTAGGTGATAGGAAAATGCAGGCTTTTTAATAGGCCAGAAAATCTGAAATTACCATCCTCCATACTACTTTCTGATTCACACAGCACACTCACATGGGCGGGGTCGATCAGATCAGGGCACTAGATGATAACCGAAGCTTTCAGTAACCTGAGTTTGACTTCCTGACTGTAAGAGTTTTTTATTCCCAAGACTACCAACCTAAAAGTCTAGCTGGCTTTGTGTCTGACCTCTAAGGTGTATCAATTCAGTAAATCTGAGTAACTCGGGTAATTCAGAAGCACAGGCTATCATCTGCCCCTCACAATACCTGACATCAAAGGTTATTTTTATGCTTTAATTTGAGGTGATTTACTACCTAAAGAAGCTGTTTCTTTTGTATTTTTTTTAAGTCTGTGAACTGAAGAATCAAATATATAATATATAATATATTAAAACCTTTAAAAATGGACCAATTTGGTAAACTCAAGATAACTCAGGTAATACTATCCTTCCCTTTACAAGATACTCAGAAAAGGCAGACTGAGCATTTTACCTTCCAGATATCTGATTCATGGTCACCTAGGATTTTACCATGACACAACTGAAAAGTATTAAAATGTATCAACTATTTCATGAAATCTATCTCCCCCACCAATGTAGATAACCCAGTTAAAATCCAAGCATAAGACTCTCCCTCCTCCTGATAAAACGAGTCAGTGCTCTTTAACATGTCGATGGCCTGCCCTGACTCTCCGTGGGTACGGAGCCTCCGACTTCACACTCTTTGTACCATAATCTAAGCTTTTGAGAATATCTACCAAGGCTACAGAAACACATCTGAAGCAGAAAAGTTGTTTCTATGAGCTACTTCTCAGAAACGAATGATTTCATGAGAGAAAAAACAGCAATTACAGCCAATTCCTCATTATCAAACAACAAAATATGAAATAAATTAAAGAAAAATGCACCATCTTTCATTTTTAAGATAAAACTATTTACTTGAAAGTTACAAGGAGAAGGAAGAAGGGCGAGAGGAAAGGAGGAAGGGTGCACAGGAGGGAAGCAGGAAAGGAGAGAAGGAGGAGAGAGGGAGAGAAGAAGTGAGGCAGGGAGCAAGACGGAGAGAGAGGGAGAGATCTCCATCTTTAGTTCGCTCCCCCAGCAGTGAGGGCTGAGCCTAGCTGAAGCCAGCTTGCTATGAGGGGCTCCCACCCGGCTGGCAGAGGTTCAAGAACTTGGGCCATTTCCTACCGCATCAGCATGGAGCTGGATCAGCAGTGGAGCAGCCAGCACAAGTGCCATGTCACGCTGGCTTTGCAAGCAGCAGCTTTACCTGCCATGCCACAACACAAGTACAACAATATCTTATCTTTAACCAATGGGTCTACATTACTTATTTATTAAAGTCTTCTTTATTATTTATTTCTATTTCAGTAAAAGCCTAAAAATGGAGACATATACATTGAAACTACAGAATCGCTGTTTAAGCCAAAGTTAAGAAAGAGAGAACATTATAGCAAAGAAACAGCCTAGGTACTGCTAGGGGAGGGGAGAGTGGAGAGGGAACAGGCGAAGGGATGGGAACCCTGCGTTCAAAAAATCAGAGTTTAGGGTGATTGTTACACTGTGATAGCTTAAGTTGCTGGCTTAAGAGCCTACAGCCCGGATTGGGTCCTGCCTCCAGTCCCCATTCAGTTTTCTCCTAGCACACGCACTGGGACACAGCAGATGACTCCCCAGGTACTGGCGTCCCTGTCAGTCACCCACATGAGATACCTGGCTCCAGCTTTCGGACTGGCCCACCCTCGGCTGTTGCAGGCATTTGGGAAGTGAACCAGCAGATGAGAGACATCTGTTTGTCTGCCCTTTAAGCAAACTGAGCAAACTTCAGAAACAAGCACATAGACAAACTAGGAGGACTCTGACGTAAAACCTGAGCAATGACAAGACGTGAGGCCTGAGAAGGAAGCAGTGTCGGACCCCACCCTGCAGCTCACAAGGAGAGGTCACCCATCTGCCGTGCTCACAGGTTCTGCCCGTAAGATTAGAAATATTAAAAACAAAATGGATCTTTCACATTGGTAGTTCAAGAAACAATGCCTAGGGGAACAAACAGGGGAACCGGCAAAAGTTCATGGGAAATGAAATAAAAAAGACAGTGCCACACAGGAGTCCGGCCTCCCAGCTAAAACCCCAACATCCCATAGTGGAACGCCAGGGGCGCTCACCCCACTCTCAACTCCAGCTTCGTGCTAACATAAACCTCAGGGGACAGCAGGTGCCGCTTCAGCCCTAGTTACCCACAGAGAGACAGGGATTCAGTTCCTTCCTCGGGCCACCGCAGGCCCCTGGGGCAGGACCTAGCACGTCGACACACTGTCTCTAGAAAATACTGGTTTTGAAAAACAACGCACATATCCCCCCAACTTTTTGAACTTCACTCTTGTTATAGGCTATACATATGGCAAACGTAAGTTTAAACAGATGTAGGGAAGAACTAAGGCCATGGCAACAGGAGAAACGGACACAGGCAAGGGGGAGAAGAAAGGAGGAGAGCCCCCTGGACAGTGCCACCATTCTCGGAGACCAAGGTGGCTTCGAGAAAGGAAACTGCGACGCTAGCTTTACAAATATTACATCTGAAACAACAAAGCACACACAAATAACTCAGGTGAGGGTATCCTCGTCATCCTTAATTCTGAATTTTACCAAAAATAATTCAATTACAGGCAGGAAGTGAGGAAAAACAGGTAACACGCTGTTATCTGTGGATGGTAAGTTTTCTCCTAGGAAACTTTTTTCTTTTTTTTTGCAGCAAAGTATAATAAAAATTTTCCTTTAATTCCAAGTATCCATCATGTCTCTGAAGCACCTTCCTGCGGGCTAAGGAGTCTGGACATTTTTCTGAGATGCCAGGGTCACTCACAGTCAGGGATATGATCAAACGCATTACAAAAAGACTGGGAGCGCCTTGTGGGATGGGCTGATGCACAGGGGCGGCGGCAGCGAGGCAGTGGGCAGGCCGGGGCTGCCTGCAACTTGAAAATCACGCTTAGGAGAGAGGCAGCACGGATACTCCAAGGAAGAAACCGTGGAAATACTCGGGACTGAACAGAAACGTCTTAAGGAAACGGAGTTCCCAGCAGCGGCTGGCACCGACACCATCGCAGCCGCTGCGGTCTCCCACACCTTCCCTCTCACCCCCCATCTGGCCTGCTGCCCCTGGCTCCCTGGGAGATCCTACAGCAGTCCTCCGCGGTACCCCGTAAGCCTCGGCGTCCCCCAACACCCCGCAGCACCAAAGCCCAGACAGCTGGCCGCAAACGCCATCGCACCCCACGACCTCCGCCCGCCCCAGCGCAGCCTTATCCCAGTACCTCCGCTGTCGGAAGCACCTTTGACCTCCTCTTCCAGCTCCGACGGCAAGACTTTGGCTATCATTTTCACCTTCTTCTTCTTCTTTAGGGACTTTTTCAGCTTTTTCCCCGCACTCACACGTGAGTCCTCCACGGACGCAGCCATCTTTCCTTACCGGAAGTGTGCTCTTAGAGCTGCGTCCGGGGGCAACACAAGGCACTTCCGGGCGTCGCCCGGGAGACGGTGGTTCCGGGGCGGGGCAGTCTGGCCTGAGAAGAACTGCCTGATCAGAAAGTGACTCGGGAGGATCTGTGAATAGATTGACGTCTTGACGTGAAGTGGCTTCCCGAGCACAGCTCTGGCCGCACGCCCTCGGGCGATCGCTCTGGCCCTGCCCTCTTCGGATGACCTGCTCGGCGCCGTCTGCTTCGATTTCGCAGCTTTACTTGCCTGCCTGGCTTTGGCCGTATTTTTGCGAAGGTTTGGGCAGTCCCGCAAAATCCGCTTTTGTACGCACTGAACACGCCGCAGTCAGGAAGCGGAAAAAATCCCGGTCGTTAGATGATGAGCCTCCCTCCCGGCCCGGCAGACTTCCAACGCGGGAAACTTGATCAGATCCTCTCCGCTTCAAGCCGCGAGCCCTAAGGGACGCTAGCCGCCCTTTGAATCCTTCTCCACCCGGGTGGACTCCCTTCGCCCTTCCCTCGAGGCGCCCTTTGTCCCTCGAGGGCCGTCTTCCAGGCTCCACGGGTCACCTGCTGCCAGCCCCGTGTTCCCTGGAGCCGGCAGTCCTGTGTTTAATCTTGCTAACAATATGTGTACGTATTTGGGGCCAGCGTGCGATGCTGTAACACGTGTCCACAGTGCGTGCTGATCAAAACACAGTAATCCTCTTCTCCCCTTCTTGGAGCTGTAGTCTCCCCATTTTTCTCACTAAAAAGTTGGCTTCTGAAACGTGGGGCCATTTCTCATTCACCATTTTGCCTGCAAGGCCGTCAGCGGGACGTGGCCTGTATTTAGTACTCAAAACACAAATTCAGAGGGCAGTAAATGAATGGCAGAATGCAACTACTGATGAGGCTAATAATGCATTAGCGGGGTACAGCCTTTACACGATGCTGTAGAGCCGAAGCATGCTCTAAAGCTTTTCCCTAAGTTTAGTTATTTACCTGTACAGATCCTTGGTTTCCATCACACAGCACATAAAAAACGAAACCCTTATTTTAACAAATCACAGCTGATGTTTATACGACATATTTTATATTTGCATTCTGAAAGCTCAATACATTAGAAAAAGAAAACTGCAGGGGAAGTAATATCCCATACACAGAGTGTGAAAGATTCCAGCGCGAACTTTTGCAAAGTGCAGTCTTGGCTGACAAAAGGGATGCTCCGTAGAAGTGCCCCTTAGGACGGTGCTAGAGCCCAGAAGCCCCCCTTTTCCTGAGTGTGTTTCCCACTGACATTTCCCACTGAGCTCTTGCACGGTAAGTTCCAACCAAATCCGAGAAAGCGCTGAAGAGAGTTGTAGAGAAAGATGCCACGTGAGAGAGCAAGACGATTGCCAGCCGTCCCGGAAGAGGTGTTCCTGTATATGAGCCCCTTCACCCTGCATCTGTGTCCTGGTATTATTTGATGACTATCAAGCAAAAGAAGCAGGTGTTGGCAGGTGTAAGAGAGAGAGATCTCCTGTCTGCCAAGACTGTAAAAACCAGAGGAAGAAGTCAGGAGTCCACAACCCCGCATGGGTGACAAGAACACAATGGCTTGTGCAATCACAACAGCTTCCTGTGCCCTGAATGAGTAGGGAGCTGGAATGAGGAGCTGCAACTTGTTCAAATGGAAGTGCTCCCACAGGACTATGGACATCCTAACCCAGAGGCCAAACACCCTCTCCCCAAAACTGATGTTACTGTAGTTCTACATTTCAGTATAGTATTTTTTTCATATAGGGCAATTATATATGTTTACTGAAATTTGAAAAATTGGGGGTGATTGATTTGTCACACAGATTTTTGTTCTCTAACAAATGATGATAGTACAGAAAGCTGTTGGAAATAGAATTAAAAGACAAGTTTGGGGCCCAGCATGGTAGCCTCATGGCTGAAGTTCTCACCTTGCAGCCACCAGGATCCCATATGGGTGCCAGTTCGAATCCCAACTGCTCCACTCCCATTGCATATTTCTGTCTGTGGCCTGAGAAAGCAATCGAAGATGGCCCAAAGCCTTGGGACCCTGCACCCACATGGGAGACCTGGAAGAAGCTCGTGGCTCCTGACTTCAGATCAGCTCAGCTCCATTGCAGCCACTTTGAGAGTGAACCAGAGGACAGAAGATCTTTCTCTGTCCTTCTCTCTGTAAATGTGACTTCCCAATAAAAATCTAAAATAAATCTTTATTTTAAAAAGTCTGTTTGTTTTGGGGCAAGAAGTTTTTGAAACCCATACATATTCCCTCCATAATACACAATTCCTATAAATTTTCGAAGACTCTTCATAAAATAGTCTCCAGATTTTTTGAAATGTTTTTGTTTTGTTTTGCCTTTAAGATTTAGTTTAGTTGGGGCCCGGCGGTGTGGCCTAGCGGCTAAAGTCCTTGCCTTAAATGCCGGGATCCCATATGGGCACCGGTTCTAATCCTGGCAGCTCCACTTCCCATCCAGCTCCCTGCCTGTGGCCCGGGAAAGCAGTCGAGGACGGCCCAGAGCATTGGGACCCTGCACCCGCGTGGGAGACCCAGAAGAGGTTCCAGGATCCTGGCTTTGGATCGGCATAGCATCGGCCGTTGCGCTCACTTGGGGAGTGGATCATCGGACGGAGGATCTTCCTCTCTGTCTCTCCTCCTCTCTGTATATCTGACTTTCCAATAAATAAATACATCTTTTTTTAAAAAAGGTTTAGTTTAGTTTAGTTTCAGTTTGGAAGACAGATTTTAGTAAGTGAAGAGAAAGATCTATCTCCTGGTTCACTCCCTAAATTGCAGCAGTGGCCAATTCTGGTCCCATACAAAGGCAAAAGCCAGGAGCTTCTTTCTGATCTCCCAGGTAGGTGCAGGGGACGAAGACCTTGAGCCACCCTCTGCTGCTTTGCCAGGTCATAAGAAGGAAGCTGGGTCAGAAGTGGAGCAGCAGAAGACATGAAGCAGTGACCCTATGGGATGCAGGGGCCTCAGGCAGGGAACTATCCCACTCTACTACCACATTGGCAGTGAAAATTGTTGATGTGTTTTTGTCTTTTACTTTAAAATCAAAGAAACAGATCTGTCTCCCAACTCACTTCCCAAATTTCAACAACAGCAGGGCTAGACCAGTCCAACCTCAGGAGCCCAGTCCGGGTCACCCACGTTAGAGGAAAGCACTTGAGCCATCATGTGGCCTCGCAAGGTGCATGTCTGTGGGAAGCTGGAATTCAGATTAGAGCAAGGGCTCGGACGCAGACATCCTGAGCGACACCTTCAGCTTTGTGCCAGATGCAAATCCCAGCTCCAAGCATTTAAGTCTGGCTTTAAGAAATAAATTCCTGCAAAAGGGACTGATATCTGTTGTAATATATTTAATCCTCCAAAATTAGCCAATAAGTAAGGTACAGTTATTATTCCGTTTTATACATGAAACAATTGAGGCACAGAATAAATAGCTTCCAAAGGTGCCAGGGAATGCCATTCCAACCTAAGCACTATGCCACAGAGGCTGCTCAGACAGGGAAAACCGCTGCCTACTCATCTAGTCTCAGTGTGGCACTCAGAATGCAAGTAGTCGTAGGCAATGAGGGTTTCTGACACTCAGATTCGTAAATGGGAAAGTAATCTGCACTTTAAAAATGTCCGTCTTGTGTTGAAAAATAACTGGAATAATCTGCGTGTTTGGGTGCGTTTTATAAATAAACCTGTGCTCTTTATCTGCCTGCTGCCTCTTAGCTCCAAATTCACCCTTTTTTGCTGCTCTCTGAAAATAAATCTGGGTTCTATAAATATTTTTCTTCGGCCTATGAGGCAAACGGCATAGTTTGCCAGTAGAGGGCACCAGAGTGACATTGGAAGAAGAAAGGAGCTTCCTACAGAGCTCAGCGTGCTTCCCTGAAGGCTAAGGTAGAACTTTCTCAGCGTCAGATTCCTGCCCTGGAGCTGGAGTCCCAGGACTGGATTATTGTGGCCCAGGTGATTCCCTGGGGACCTGCCAAATCCCGGACCTGCAGCTCCCCTCCACAGCCTCCTTCACAGCAGGACGCCTCTGACAGGACAACTGCCCACCGCTGCTGCTTTCCCCAGAACCTACAAGAGCACTGATTCTCATGGAGGCAGAGAAAGAGGATTTTCAGCAAGTTCTGACAAAACCGCACTACAACATTTCAACATGTGAGACCGAGAAGAAGCTTCTGGCTCTTGGCTTCGGCCTGGCACAACCCCAGTTGTTGAGACCATTTGAGGATCGAACCAGCGAATGGAAGATTTCTCTTTGCCTCTCCTCTTTCTGTAACTATTGCCAAAATTCAATCGACCTTCCTTTTTCTGATATGTAAAAAAAAAAAAAAAAAAAGACTTTGGTAGGAAGCATAAAGGAAAACTTATGTTCTCAGGTTGGACAAAGATTTCTTAGATAAAATATCAAAATTATTATCTAGAAAATGCAAATTGATAAATTAGACCTTACTTTGAAGGAACTACAGTGCTTTCACAATCAGAAAATAAAGGTTAAATGCTATTTTTACTGCAATAATTCATTGTTAGCCATTAAGTCCTCATTTACTGAAATGAGATCCGGAGGACTAAAAAATTTGAAAACTTGTACAGCAACTGATGGGAATGGGAAGGTTAGAAATATGATCCTTTCAAATCAGGGATTATGAAACTTTGAAAAATTTCAGTAATATTTCAACTTCATGGAGTTTTTTTTCATAATGCCTGTAGGCATCAGCATATCATGATTATCTAACCAGTAGCACAAAGCACATTGTTATTTTATCAGATGAAAATGAAGAGATCCCCAGCTGCAGGCAACTGGCTAGGTTGCAATGTACCTAGGCAGGTGTTACACCGCTGGAAGAAAAGCTACTGATAGTTGGTGGGCATTCTGGCCCTGCCTTAGGCCAAATTTGTGTTAACTATAACAATGTGCCACCATAGTTGGCCCGAGAGCAGGCAGGCAAGGCTCCACGCAAGCATGACACACTGCCAGAGGACTGGGCTTCT